ATTACCAGCAGCAGCAGCAGCAGCAGCAGCAGCAGCAGCAGCAGCAGCAGCAGCAGCAGCAGCAGCTAGCAGCAGCAGCAGCAGCAGCAGCAGCAGCAGCAGCAGCAGCAGCAGCAGCAGCAGCAGCAGCAGCAGCAGCAGCAGCAGCTAGCAGCAGCAGCAGCAGCAGCAGCAGCAGCAGCAGCAGCAGCAGCAGCAGCAGCAGCAGCAGCAGCAGCAGCAGCAGCAGCAGCAGCAGCAGCAGCAGCAGCAGCAGCAGCAGCAGCAGCAGCAGCAGCAGCAGCAGCAGCAGCAGCAGCAGCAGCAGCAGCAGCAGCAGCAGCAGCAGCAGCAGCAGCAGCAGCAGCAGCAGCAGCAGCAGCAGCAGCAGCAGCAGCAGCAGCAGCAGCAGCAGCAGCAGCAGCAGCAGCAGCAGCAGCAGCAGCAGCAGCAGCAGCAGCAGCAGCAGCAGCAGCAGCAGCAGCAGCAGCAGCAGCAGCAGCAGCAGCAGCAGCAGCAGCAGCTAGCAGCAGCAGCAGCTAGCAGCAGCAGCTAGCAGCAGCAGCAGCAGCAGCAGCAGCAGCAGCAGCAGCAGCAGCAGCAGCAGCAGCAGCAGCAGCAGCAGCAGCAGCAGCAGCAGCAGCAGCAGCAGCAGCAGCAGCAGCAGCAGCAGCAGCAGCAGCAGCAGCAGCAGCAGCAGCAGCAGCAGCAGCAGCAGCAGCAGCAGCAGCAGCAGCAGCAGCAGCAGCAGCAGCAGCAGCAGCAGCAGCAGCAGCAGCAGCAGCAGCAGCAGCAGCAGCAGCAGCAGCAGCAGCAGCAGCAGCAGCAGCAGCAGCAGCAGCAGCAGCAGCAGCAGCAGCAGCAGCAGCTAGCAGCAGCAGCAGCAGCAGCAGCAGCAGCAGCAGCAGCAGCAGCAGCAGCAGCAGCAGCAGCAGCAGCAGCAGCAGCAGCAGCAGCAGCAGCAGCAGCAGCAGCAGCAGCAGCAGCAGCAGCAGCAGCAGCAGCAGCAGCAGCAGCAGCAGCAGCAGCAGCAGCAGCAGCAGCAGCAGCAGCAGCAGCAGCAGCAGCAGCAGCAGCTAGCAGCAGCAGCAGCAGCAGCAGCAGCAGCAGCAGCAGCAGCAGCAGCAGCAGCAGCAGCAGCAGCAGCAGCAGCAGCAGCAGCAGCAGCAGCAGCAGCAGCAGCAGCAGCAGCAGCAGCAGCAGCAGCAGCAGCAGCAGCAGCAGCAGCTAGCAGCAGCTAGCAGCAGCAGCAGCAGCAGCAGCAGCAGCAGCAGCAGCAGCAGCAGCAGCAGCAGCAGCAGCAGCAGCAGCAGCAGCAGCAGCAGCAGCAGCAGCAGCAGCAGCAGCAGCAGCAGCAGCAGCAGCAGCAGCAGCAGCAGCAGCAGCAGCAGCAGCAGCAGCAGCAGCAGCAGCAGCAGCAGCAGCAGCAGCAGCAGCAGCAGCAGCAGCAGCAGCAGCAGCAGCAGCAGCAGCAGCAGCAGCAGCAGCAGCAGCAGCAGCAGCAGCAGCAGCAGCAGCAGCAGCAGCAGCAGCAGCAGCAGCAGCAGCAGCAGCAGCAGCAGCAGCAGCAGCAGCAGCAGCAGCAGCAGCAGCAGCAGCAGCAGCAGCAGCAGCAGCAGCAGCAGCAGCAGCAGCAGCAGCAGCAGCAGCAGCAGCAGCAGCAGCAGCAGCAGCAGCAGCAGCAGCAGCAGCAGCAGCAGCAGCAGCAGCAGCAGCAGCAGCAGCAGCAGCAGCAGCAGCAGCAGCAGCAGCAGCAGCAGCAGCAGCAGCAGCAGCAGCAGCAGCAGCAGCAGCAGCAGCAGCAGCAGCAGCAGCAGCAGCAGCAGCAGCAGCA